TGAAAAACTCATGCCAACTATATAGATGTGGCACCAAATGTAATATATTCCTGTGTCCAAGGGCACTTAAATTTATGTTACTTTTTCACTTGTTGGCAATTTTGTTTTTTTCCAGCTGAATTATTGATTGTGCTGTGGAGTTACAGTATTTGTACTCAGGAAAAAGTTCAGATACCTGTTGGTAGATGAATAGATAACTAATATGGAGTTTATACATATAATAGAATATTTTTTATTACTATTATACAGCCCTTAGTGAAATCCTAACCAATGCTGTAGTATAAACATTAAAGTCATCATTCTAAATTAAACAAGCCAGATGCAAAGGACAAATGAGATACTGAGATAGTCAAGCTCTCAAAGACAGGAAGTACAATGTTGTTTGCTAGGGACTGGGTAGATGGGGAGGAGGGGTGGAGTTGTTATTTAGTAGTAATAGTCTACCAGTTTGAGATATCTGGGTATGGGTAGGGTTGGTGTGTTAGAGTACAACTGTATTAGAATATTTCACACCAGTGGTATCCACCCATTGCTCAGCTGACCAGTGCTGAATCAGTAACTTAACTTTCTGTTATAAAATCAATAGGACAAGGGGTCCATATTGAATGTCTGCCCATGCACGGGTGTTGCTCCTGAGTGCATGTGGTACCTGAGCACATATGTTGCCCACATTTCCCTTCTCAGGATGTGTACTTTCATAGCTTTCATATCTAACAATGATTATCTGCCTTTGAAGAAGCCTGGGTTTTCTCTCCTGAGTTGCTCTCCTCTCTCTCTCTTTCTCTCTCTCTCTCTCCCCTCTTTCTCAGAATTTCCAGGTAAAACCTGTTAATAAAGCAAAACAAAAATAGGATAAGGAAGAAGCTAAAATCAAAGAAAATAGCATAATGGAACTAATCATGGTTAGAGGGAGATAAAATAAAGAGTAAATATTAGAGGGACAAGAACAGAAAAACATAGAAAGTCCACAACAGATTTGTTTTTGAATGATAAAAATTGACAGACCTGAGAACGCATATTAAAACCTATTTATCTTATTCATTCTTAAAGTGCTTGTCAAATACTTGCCCAGGTTCTGTTTTTTGTTTTTTCTTTGTTTGTTTTTTGTTGCAAAATTTGAAGCAGGATTTGAACTTACCTTACAGTATAATTAAATAATGGCTGTATTTCTACCATACATTCTTGTTATCTAAAAATAAATGCTAGATGATACCCGTACTGTTCTTAAAAGTATTCAGTAATAGTTCAATCATTTCTGCTTCTCTGTGTTTCACATTTCGGTACTTTGCTAATTACTTGGAAAAGATTAGTTATAAAGATTGAGAGAGATAGTATTAAAGTATTGATACTATTTTAATGCAATATATTATTTCTTTAATTGAAAATTATTATGGATTTTGCATAAATGATTTTAATATTTATAGAGGATATTATTACATATCAAATATTTCTTTAAAAATGAGTTTGGCTGTTAGATAAATTTCAAAAATGCTTGAGTCAAAACACCATTTTTTTTAACTTAAAATTTTAAGAGACTAAGAAGCTGAAGCTGAAGCTGAAATCCATCAATAGTACAGTGAAATCTCCAATGACTGAGAGCAGAAGTCAGCCAAGGTGAACAAATGAGTCTTGTAATTTTGTACCAGAGGTCAAAAAATTAGCTCTATCAGATGTGGAGAGAGTGGAAATGCCATTGATCCAGAATCTAAGGTCATAGAATTAGTTTAAGATTGACTAAAAGAAATCCACAAGTAGCATTTTCCTTTCAGTTGACAGTTGCACAAGTTTGAACCATGCTCTTAAAATGAACAGAAGCTGTTTTCTGAAACGATGATAAATAGATTACAACAAATTCTAAGTAATCCTGTGTTACTTAGATATAGCTAGATTGCATATTTGTTCATTATCTTTCCCAACTAAACAAGATGTTTCCTTGACTAGCTTGTTAGCCAAACTCAGTTAACTACATACAGATCCTTGGAAACACAGTAGTGTTATTAGAGGTGGCATGGGGGAGACCATTGTAATTATCTTTACATAGATAGTACTACACTTGGAATGTGTAAAAGTCTTCCTGAAGGTTCATGTAGATAAGGGATTACAAACATTTAACATCTGTGTAGACATTAGTTCAACTTCTGAAGTGTGTCCAAAGTTGTATTGTTTCTGAGAATGACTCTGAGGAACATCCTTCAAATCTTAAAAAATAGAGTGTTCTAGGAATTTCAGATCTTTGCCTTGGAAAATGAACTCAAATAGCATACATATTTGTGATTCCTGGCTCATCTGTTCTTTGAGAAGTTAATTAACTAATATTAAGTAAGATTAAACTAGTAGGTAATAATTCAGTTCCTTTATCTATAGTCAGTAGAAACAAAACTCCACTCAAAGTGACTTCTCCAATAGAAGACAGAGCTTCTCCACAAAGAATTTAATCTTAACTAGGAAGCTGAAATAGGTAACTGGAATACAGTGAAGTGTATATGACCACCTTAGATCACTCCATGCATTACTTTTTGTTAGCTAGGATTACTTTCCCCAAGTAAATTCAAATTAAATTTTATTTTAGCATTAAGAATTTATTGACATTTAAGGAAATATATCAGATTTGTTGACTTTTGGGGGGACTGTTTCAGCTCTGGACACTAAATCATTCTGTCTGATTTAGTTCTGCTTACCCGAGTCTCCTCCCACACTCAAATGGGCAGCTCTTCGGATGACTAATATATGACTAAAATGGAACAGCTAGATAATACCAGTGAGGTAGACCAAGTACATAAAGCTTCATTGAACTCACTTTGAATTTACCATTCAGCTCAGGCTCCCTTTCCATTTGGGGCATTAAATTTCTACTTAAACTCTGAAACTATAGCAAGGAGGGCAAAGCATTGTAGACAATAAAACCCAGAAAAGCAAGTGCTGCTGAGTAGTGTGTGTGTGTGTGACAATGTAACAATAAAGGCAATATAAAAATATCAGTAGGTGGGGATGTATTTTTTAGTAGGAGGGAGGATATCCAAGGCTTCAAGAAGAGATGTTTACTTGAGATGCCTCCTGCTGGGTTTCTCATGGTTTTGCATTTACTGGAAGTTGTACATGTCTTTGGAGTTAGCTTTCCACATGGATTCATGGGGGCTGGACCTTACTATGGAAGCAGGCAAGACAAATCAACATTAGTCAAATGACATTCAGATTTTAATTAGAAGGTTTTTAACTCAATGTTAAATAGGAAGTGTCTGAGGTACTCAAATTGGGATAAACTGATAACCTGTAACAAAAGACTGGTTGCACTGCATTCAGAGAACCAGCTTTCCTAAATACAGTGAGCACAATCATGTGTGTATTCATGGCATGTTTATGCATACATCTTCTTTTCTGAAATAAATAAGAAATTGGATATAGGATTAGGGAAAGTATGTTCCACTTCCTGTTTCCTTTCTCCTCTCCTGCTAAACGTCATTTTTTCTGCATGAGGCATCAAGTTAGCAAGGTAGTGTGGTTGTGTGGTTATGTGCTTATGGATTCAACTTCTAGGTAGTTTTGTGATGAAAGGTGACTTGGTCATGGCATTATCAGAAGATGAAACAGCATAAACAATGATAGATGACTACACCCTGAACTTATTTTTCTCCCTTGGTCTTCATCACTCTCCCCTCATTGTGCCAGGCTCTGCTCTGAAGTCTTAAAACCACAGAATTAACACTTTTAATCCATTAATCCGATGAAACAACCCTATCAAGGACCTCCCATTTACTGGATGGGAAATCGAGGCACTAAGTGACTTAAGGACATCGCTCAAGTTTTGTAACTTTAGAGGGGGAGGTAAATTCCAGCATTGGCTAGAATCTGGTTCTAGAATCTGTACTTTAAATTTGCTTTGATTACTGCTTTGCTTACTTAAATGTACGCCTTTAAAATGGGGTAAATTATGCAAAAGACAGTGCAAAATAATGATAGTGCATGAAAGGGTTAACAGAGAAGCGTGACCCACGAGTTCAAAAAACAAAAACAAACTAGCAAGGGAAAGTCTCTTAAAGCTCCCGCTTGGAAATTCAATGGGCCTCCTGTTCCTTTAAACTCCCCGTCGCTCCCGCTGACACTTTACAAAAGCCCCGCAAAGGCGGGAATCCGCTACTGCGAGCCACCTTCCTCCACCAACCCCGCTGGGCTGGGGTCTCGGGGTCTAGGGGGCTTTTGCAGGGTCAGCTCACCCGGCCCGCTCTGGTTTGCTTTCTTCACACCCCGACCACCTCCACGCTGGGCCTCCCGGGAATAGCCTAGCCCGATTAACCCTTGAGCGCCCGGAAAGCCACCTCTGGTGGGGAGCTCCCGCAGGGGCTTGGGGCGCGGTCTCCCGCAGTTGCGCCTCGGGGGTTAGGTGGGACGGCTACGGGCTCAGGCTGGGGTGCACGGATGGCGCTCCCGGGCCGCGGAGGTGCCCCTCGGAGCACCCCTCTTCCCTCGCCGCCGCTCCGGGCCTCCGGACGCCGGGGGCGCGGGGTGCTGGAGTTACCCTCTCCTCCTGGCCGGGCTCCTCCAGCTTAATTTCTCGGCGACTCCTTCGCCAGCCCCAAGGAAAGTGCGGCCATTGGACAGGTCGGTGCTAGCAGCCGATTTCAGGGAGGAAGGTGGGAGAAGCTCGGAGCAGCTTAGAGGGAGGGAGAGGGGGGAAGGAGGAGGGTGCAGCGCGGGGCTGGCAAATTGCGCGCTCCCGTCCCTCCCCAAAGTGTGGAGCGGGAGCGTGGGGGAGCGAGGTGGCGGCGCCTCCTCCGCCACCAAACTCCCGGAGCTCAGCTCGGCTTGGGGACCACCGTCTTTGCCAAGAAGAGCCCTCTCCCGATAGGCGTCAGTCTGGCTTTTCCACCCCACAATTTCTTATTTCTCCCCTTTCCTCCTTTATATTTCATACAAACAAAACAAAACATTTCCCCCGCTGGCTTCGGATCCCAGCCTGCTGCAGCCCGAGCCTTCCCGGGGCTCAGCCCTTCCGAGCTGCCCATCCTTTGGGCTGCGAGGAAAGAACGCGCGCCCTGGATCGGGTGAAGAAAAGAAGAAAAACTTGTCAAAGGGGTTTTGCCAGCCCACAGTAACCCTTTCCGGCCGACTCAAAGCTCCCGCGGGGGCCCTTCCCAAGACTGGGGAAAGTTCTTTCCCTGCTGACAGCCCTCTCGGATTCGGAGGCGGAACCTGCGCCTGCTGTGGATATCAGATCTGTTTGGAAGCCAGTGGAGCGCATCGTGGGGGCTCGGAGAAGTCACCATCTGCGGACACCCGGGTGGCGCTGCCTGTGCGGAACCCAGAGTTTGTGAGCTCCGGCTGCAAGTGGCCTCTCCTGGCAGTTGTTATTCTGTGTGTGCGTGCGTGTGTGTGCGTTGAGGGCTGCGAGTGCCGTGGCAAGTTGCAAAAGGAGATACGCGGAGGTCCAGCGAGGACCCGGCTCCTCGCACTCGCTTTCTTTCTTTTCCCGGCTCCCGGGTGCGAAATCCCAGCGAAATTTCCTAAAGGCCTCGGAGTGAGGCTAAGACCAGTTCGCCGCACTCCGCTGGTAGTTCCCGTCCAGCCCCCCGCAGGGAGCACCGGAGCAAAGGGCGCCGGGGAAGGACTGTCCCGGAGGGGAAGGGAGATCTCGGCAGCAGCAGCGGCATGGCGCGGTTCCCGAGGGCAGACCTAGCTGCAGCAGGAGTTGTGTTACTTTGCCACTTTTTAATGGACCGGTTTCAGTTCGCTGAAGCAGAGCCCGGAAACCCAGTCGATGGTAAGATGCATTTTCCTTCTTGTTGATTTTGCGCCCGAGAGCCAACCCACTCCCACTCCATCTGCCTGCCCTTGGGAAAGTTATTGCAATGACTTTTCCTTATAAACTTGGGTTTACCAAATGAGGAGACGAAGGTGGGCTGGAAAAAAAAAAGGAGGGTGTAAACGGGGAGGGGGGTTGTTCTTGAGGATTTCTTGGGGCTGGCTTCACCTGAGCTGCAGGGGCGGTGCTGTCTTCCCTGAGCAGTTCTGGGAAGGCACTGGTGAAGGAGCAAAGCTAGCCCTGAAGCTGGCTTCCGGGGCTCTCCCTTTTCCAGCTGCGCCTCCAACCCCCTGATGCTGGCGGAACAGCCTGTGTGTGAGTGAGGGTTTGAGTGTGGCAGTCGTGCTGGCAGCAACGGACTGCAGGAGAGGAACTGCAGGAAAGAAATTGCTGTGGCCGCACCTTCCTCCCCGAGAAGAACTCCCTCCCCCGCCTCGGATTCTTCTCGCCGTCTAGGGTGGAGCGGGTGCTAAGAAGCGTGGGGCGGGGTAGGTGCGGCGGGTGGCGCAAAGGAGGGGAGGAGGTGGCAGAGCTGGACGGGCGCGCCGCTGGCGACTGAACCCAGGCCCCATTGTTCTCTGCCCGCGCTGACTAGCCCGAACGTGCCGGAGGTTCCTCCGGGTGCCCGAACCTTGCCCCAGTTCGGAATCCCAGCCTCGGCATCTGCCTGCGAGCCAGTGGCCGTCGCTGGGCACCAGTGGCCGCAGGAGCCAGGTGCGGGTGGAAGTCGCGCCGCACTCCACTCCCTCCCCCCCTCCCCCCGCGGGGGGAAGCGCACCCGGCTTCCCAGACCCTGTTTGCCGTGGTGAGCCGGGCGCCTGCGCCCCGGGACTGTCTCCCCCCACCCCCCATCACCACCAGGAAGAAAAGGGTGGGTGGGGAGGAACTGGCAAAGACAAGGCAAGAGACCTGGCAGGATATTTGTGCACTTGGTTAGAGTACCAGAGGTGCGGTGGACAAAAAAGCGCTGGGTGAGAATAGAAGAGGATAGTGAACTTTCTGGTTTAAGGGCATCTGGGTCTGCTTTGCTTTTCCAAAGGAGTGGGGACTGATGGTGGTGGTGGCGGCGGTGGTGATTGTGAGGGATTCCTCAGAGACTGCACGTGCTTGTGTTTGTGCCAGGTGCCCAACCCGAGGCCCGAAGAGTCTTGGGTGAAGGCTGGGGAGGGCGGGGATGCCAGGTAAGACGGTGGCGGGGGTGGCCTGAAGGAAGTTCCTGAAGGTCATTGAGACCCAGAAGACACAGAACCCGGAGACCTCCCGTGCTCTTACCCTGCAAGCTCGGGCTCTGCCGTACTCCCTTCAATGTATGATTGGGGTGGGCCCTGGATTGAGTGATGTACTGACAACACTTATTTGGGGGAGGGGGTGGAGCTGGGGTCATGTCCAGCGCTACTCAAGGCGCGTTTACTCCTGGTTCTGCGCTCACGGATCACTTCCCAGGGGGACTCAGGACCTCATGTCAGGGTTCTAGCGTGCCAGGGAAGCGCTTTACCCCTGTACACTCGCTGGCTCCTTGACAGCACTTTTAAAGCAGTGAATTAAACTCAACTTTTCCTGCTGGTTGATTTGTCTTTGTCACACATTGTTCTGTATAAATGAACCTAGATAGTGGTTGATTTATGTTAGTGGAGTATGCCTTCTGATGCTTCCTCGGTTATGTTTCATTGGTTAAAAATAATACTCCCCCCTACCCAGTCTTGGAAGGGACGTTTTTGTTTTAAAAGATCCAGCCATAATTTTAATGAGCATGTTCATGGAATAAGTAAATGCTTATTAAAGAAAGCAGTTGACTTCTTCAGAAAGGAGTTGGAGAGGTGTGTGTGCCAAAGTGACACTGAAGAAATGCATTTGTTGCAAAAAATAAATCAGCAAATGTTTACTTCTCTGAACATTTTCCAATTACAATGGTAGCACTGCACTGTCCTCCCGTTGTTCATCGATTTGCTTGAGCGGGCACCAGTAATGTCTCCATTGTGAGATTGTTGTTACTGTTTTTGGCATATCAACTATGTCACGGCATACTCTCTGTAGCTTGTTGGGCTCTCCGAGAGGGGCAGAGGAATTGAACCCGAGTCAGCTGTGTGCAAGGCAAATGCCCTACATGCTATGCTATCACTCCGGCCCATTACAGTGGTATTGAAAAAGAATATATACACATTTCACTAGTTTTCAAATTGAGGATGAAACCCATAATACTGTAAAGTTATAAATAATACTCTAAAAGCCTTTGCTTTATTCGACATAAACATGTAAAATGCTCAAATGATTACAGATATCTTAAACCTTCTTCTGTTTCTGGTGGAAACTAGTTAGAAACCTGTGATAGGTTTAAAAATCTATGTTAGGATTTGTTGTATTAGAGAAAAGAATAGCTTAAAGTTTCTTGGGATTTTTTGAGATTTGTTACAAACTGAAGCAACTTCTTTCCTGGATACCAATCAGAATACAGCTTTATTGAATTATTTTGTATTAAATAATTAGTGTACTGGATATAAAATGTAGCAAAGAAATGGAAGAAAAATGTGATGTTCTTTTCAAATAGCCTAGTTAAAATTTAACTATGGGAAACAAAAAATTAAAGGTCTTAAAATTATGCATGTATTAATTAGAATTTCTATTACAAGCATTTTGGTATAAAGGAAAAATACCTGATTTCATAACAGGAACATTTAAAAAAATACATCACTTTAGTAAGGCTGCAGTTGATTTTGTTGCCACCAGAGGGCAGAGAAACTATTTTTGTAATATTCCCATTTTTCCATTCTCAAATTGATGATCCTGAATATTTTGTTTTTCTACATGCAATCATTTTTTATATTTAAAATTGCAATTTATGAAGGGGTGGTATTTTTAACCATAATAGGATTTTATTATAGTTTCTGTTTAACATTTATATAGTAGCTCCTAAATATGGAGACTTGTGCTTCTAATACTATCTTTGGGTAAAATACCATAGTGGAGAAAAATTTAAATACCCTTTTTGCATCATAAACTTTGGATATTAACAAATTATTGTGAAATCCCTAGGAATACAATTTTAAAGTATTTCTTATGACTAAAATATAGTGATTAATTTAAAGAATAGTTACACTCTTCATATATCTGCAAAGTATTTATCCACAAAAAATAGTTTATCTGAATATCAACAGTCAGAAAAATTAGGTTAGAGTAATCCTTAACTTTATAGTTATCAAATCCCTTCTATATCCTGGGATATTAAAGATGTGCTAATTGTCTTGAAGACTTTTAGAATTAAAAGTTTAATTATATGTAGTTAAATTTTGACCTGATTTTTTACTCTTTACTGTGGTTCAATGTAACAATGTTGTTAATTCACTGTCACTGTGTCACTGTTCTCCCATTGTTCATGGATTTGATCGAGCAGGCCCAGTAACCGTCTCCATCATGAGACTTGTTGCTACTGTGTTTGGCATATTGAATATGTCACGGGTAGCTTGCCAGGTGTGGCCGTGTGGGTGAGATACTCTCGGTAACTTGCTGGGCTCTCTGAGAGGGGCGGAGGAATTGAACCAGGCTCGGCTGGGCCGGCTGCGCGCAAGGTAAACACCCTACCGCTGCACTATCGCTCCAGCCCAAATTAAATATCATAATATCTCTTAATACCTGTACTTTTGAAAAAAATGCTAGTGAAGATAAACAATTTTTAAAATTAATAATGTCCCTCTCCCACCTGTTCTCACTCTTGTGGACTTTGGGACACAGCAGGGCCTGTGTGGTGTTGGGGTCAGACCTGGCATGTTACTTGTGACCTGGAGCAATACACAGAAGAGACGGTGCTGTCCTTGCACGAAGCCAATCCAGATTCGATCCTCAGCATCCCACAGGGTTCCCCGAACACCGCCAGGAGTAACTCCTGAGTGCAGAGCCAGGAGTAAGTGCTGAACAGTGCCCCATGTGGCCACAAAACAAAAGAGAGAAAAGCACAAACTTTTTGGGTTGATCTTTGTTTGTTTGGAGGCCCCACCTGGTTGTGATCAAAGCTTATTACTGGCTCTGTGCTCAGGGATCACTCCTGGTGGTACTCAGGAGGCCATATGTGGTTCAGGGTTTAAGCCTGAGTTGGCACGTGCAAGGCCTTAACGATACACCTTAGCCCCTGGACTATCTTCCCAGCCCCTTGCTCTGATTTTCACTGTGAGTTCAGAGAAGAGCAAGCAAAAGAGAAAAAACAACCCTACCTGTTGAGGACAACTGTCCCCAACATCAGCCCCAGCACTTACCAAGTGTTTCTCCGATGCATCTTCCTCCATTCCTGCAAGTCTCCACGTCAGCAAGACATGCGGGATGGTTGTTAATTACTGTTGTATAATAAGAATAATTTTAAACCCCAGGGAATTTTAATTTTTAAGCTTTTGATATTTTTATATTCAAGTGACAGTTTATTTTTAGCATATCATTTGTGTTTTAATGCTTTGGTTGGATCAATTCATGGTGTGACAAGGTATGTAAATTTTTTTTAAGTAAAAAATATCTTTTTCTCAATTCCAAGTCCAAACTGCTGACCATTACACCACAAAACCAAGAAATCTCATTTTCTGCAAGTGCCAGAGAGATAGCATAGTGGGTAAGGTGCTTGCCTTGCATGCAGCTGACCAGGGTTCAATCCATGGCATCCCGTATGGTTCACCCGGAGTGATTCCTGAGTGCAGAGCCAGAGCAACTTTCCTGTGCAAGTTTCTTCTGTGCCAGAATGAGACACTATTATGAGAAATAATGGACATGGAGTGTTTTGAAATGAGTTTTCTGTATTTTGCTTCTTAATAGATACCTCTTAGTATACAAACGTTTTTAAAAGATGAATGAGTTGATCAGCAACTGTGATTATGTGCTCTGAAAGTCTTCAGTAGTTTCTCTACAGTTTTAGTTGCTTCACAATGGCCTTCAAAAACCATTGCCTTGAACTGCTTTGCCACCTCTATCTGACATCTCTGTGT